TGGCCTTCACCCACGTGTGACCTCCGTTTGCAACGACATCTACCACCAGTGTCTGCTTGTCTCCAAACCTGTCCTCGTAAGCAAAGACGTGGAGGACACTGACAACATCCTCCAGGTTCTCTGCTGACTGAATAATGGCTTGGAGGTGGGTAAGGTTTGTACTCTGCAGATGGGATTCTTTAATGGCCACTTTCCCTGCCTCCACCTTGTGTAAGAAATTTAGCTCTGCCTTCAGTTTGCTACATAGCTTTGCCCCACCTTCTATTCTCCTTTTCTGGGACTTGGAAAGGGCTTCCGCTCTCTTAATCAAGTCTTTGGCAACAGCAATTCTTTCACAAAGCAGCGACTGCACAGACATGTTGCAAACATTATTCCTGTCAAGTGAGAACAAAGGAGAAGATTGTTATTGCATGGCCAAGAACAAAAACAGTCTAAAGAGTTCTTTCTAACAGTATACATTGCAGCCTTGCAGTAGACTTAAGTGCAACAGCTATTGTAAAGCACAAGGACTGGATCTTCAACACAAAGTCCCAGTGATGAGTTCAGTTCCTTTCCTTCACCTTCAAAAATCCAACCTACAGCCTCAGAAGACACCAGTTCTCAGCAGGGTAGCACTCAAATCTACACACAGACCTTGGAAGCTTGTGGTTTGCCCCCACCTGCCATGTAAGAGACCTTCACTCAGCCAGTCACTTAGAGGGATGTTAACCCTCACAGCTCATTTGCAAAAGCTGCCATCCAGAGCAAAATCAGAAATACAGTTAATGCCATAAGCAAATCTTGTCTCTCTCTCTCATCACACTTACCATTAAAATTAAAGCTACCCAACATGCTTACACAGACCCAGCTTTGAACCTGCACTGTTCAACTCAGTGCATGAACCCCTCAGAGGGTGGTGAAGCACTGGGGCAGGTTGCCCAGAGAAGTTGTGGATGCCTCACCTCTGAAGTGGTAAAGGTCACAGTCAGTTTGGAGGGGGCTTGGAGCAACATGGTCCAGTAAAAGGCACCACAGTAAAAGGTGTCCCAGCACACAGCAGGGGACTTGCAACTAGATGATCCTCAATGTCCCTTCCAACCCAAACCATCATATGTTTCTATTACACAGCCTCATGACAGACTATGATTCATAGTTTTATTATCAGGAGAACCTCTATGCTAAAATTGCTATGTTTTCTAATTCTACTATGAGATTTACCGGGTTGCATCTGATAAATCTATTTTTTTCACATCTATATTACTTTAGCAGGCCTTCCTTAAGGAAAGTATGATTGGAATTCTTTTACTGAATATGTGCTGTCTTTGAAAATGTAGCATTCAAACTACACCAAACAATAGCATATTTAAGACAGTAACCACTATGAATAGTAAAATAAATAAATTTTGACTCCTGGCTACAAGTATAAACACTGTAATTCTTCCTATAATTCTTACCTAACTCGCATGTTGAAGTAAACTGGTATTAAAGGACAAGATAAATGAAACTCCAACTGAAAAAGAGCAACAAGACACAGCCAGGTCCTACAACAGGCTCTACCAAGACAACTCAGTGGCCTGCCTTCAAATAGTGGCCTGCCTTCAAACAGTGGGCTTCCCTGGCCCTATGGCCAAGTGGAAACATGGCCAGCATTAACTGCTACTGGCCTGGTCCCCATCCAGCATCAGCAATATCTCCACCTGCTTCTTCATGGCCAAGATTCCTGATGCCTTCCAAGGTGACGTACTAATGCTCTTCACAGTCCCAGGAGGCCAGAAAAATCAGCCTTTCCCCCTCAAAGTCTTTGCCACTGCCACAAGCTTATCCTTGAATGTGATGCAATGAGTAAAACCTCATGATTAGTAACTGGTCACCTCTCCCCACAGCAGCTACAACTCCTACACACACACACCCACAGACACAGACACACACACTCTTCAACACAGAACATAAATCAAGGGCTGCGGTGACCCTAAAACCACAGACGCAACTACTTTTTCAGCACAACTACTGGGCGGTAGCGCCACTATCAACCACAAGGTCACACACCACCCCTTGCCCTCCTTGCCTTCGCCCCAGGGCCCGTTCTCCCTTGGGCGGGGATCGGGG